AGTCAGTTTAAGGATTGTAACCTGAACCTCAAAGTCAGTATGCTAAGGGGTAAATTATAAAAGGCATCACATATTTATATTAACAAAACTGGACCCACTAAGATAGCATTTGAATAAAACAAAACCAATGTCAAACTCTAACACTTTGCTCAAGTATGGTCAAACACAATAATACTATATAATAATAATATAATATATAATTTAGTCCAAAAAATGAGATGATAGAAACTCTGCAATAAAATTTATGGTATATTAAAAAACAAAACTTGTCAGCACACTAGTGTGCTGACATTTTTATTTCTCAACTAGATTTTAAAACAGGACTGATACCAGTGCAAAGTTGGTAAGTTAGAAACTAACAGTTTTATTGGCTTAATTTATACAAAATGTAGAAGATCAATCTATTTAACTATCATTAGACCACATCTGGGCTATTCTACACAAGTTTGGGTACCACAATCTATTTATCTTATCTCAAATCTAGAAAAGATACAGAGACAGGCTACAAAATATATCTTGACACTACCATTCTCGTGCAGTCAGAGTTATGAACAATGGCTAAAAACCCTTTCCTTACTACCTATCAGGTACTGGCATGAGTACTTAGATATTTAACTGTTCTTTAAGATTACCCATGGTCTGGTGGATATAGACCCTACAATTGTTCCTATTGCTCATTCTAAAAGACACACATGATCATCTGCCAATACAGCTGTTACCAAATACTCTGAACCTAAATGCAAGACTTCAACCTTTCTACAGTCATTTATTGTACAAATAATAAGAATGTGGAACACACTTTCAGGCAAGCTTATCTAAGTATTAACAATGTAAATGACTTCAAACATGCTTTGATATGTTATTATTCAACTGCACTCCAAGAGATCTATGACATTGACAATGCCAGGACTCATAAAACTACCTGTGCAATATTTAATTCATATGGCAGCCTGAAAACAACTCCATGCTGTTCTTAATTATCAATTATCGTTTTACTATTTTAATACTTCTGGGACCACAGTAATTGGCTATCACTGTTATGATTGCCTGCCCATTATTGTTATTGTAATTTACCCATGTTCTACATTGTATGTATTGTTAATACATACAAGCTAATTATATTAATTTTCAATGAATATTTAAATCTTCTTTAACTTTACTGTCATTGTATTTGGAAACGTTTAGAAACAAAGGATTAAGGACCAAGTTATTATTTTCAAGGTCAGCATGCTGAAATGCATTACAAACCCTTTATGGGATGGTGTTGAAGGAAACTGTAGGTAGCTTCCATGCATCAACTCCCATGCATCAACTTCCATGCAACAACTTATTTCTTCTACTAACAAAGTAATAATAACATAAAAGCGATGAAAGTGCCAAATAGAAAAATTCCAATGAGTGGGTGGGGCCGTCCAGCAGAAGAAGCTGCAAAACAAACAAAAACAATGTCAAAACAGATTCAATCAGCATTGCTTGCAAATGAAGGTTTTCATAAGTGCATTCAAAGATGTAACACTGTTAAGGCTGTTGGGTGAGCTCAAGTGGGGGGCATGCCACCCCTTAAACAATTAAATGATGGTTCACAAATTCAGTACACTCCACCTGAAGGTTAAGCTATTGATGCAAGGTGATAGCCATTTAACTGAAGGTTGTGATAAATTCAAAGCAAAAAAAACTTAGAAGCACAGCCTGCTTACCCTTACACTGCCTGCCATTTCCATGATATCCTTTGTTACAGGAACAACTGTATGATCCCCAGTTATTCATGCATTGAGCTTTTGCGTGACAACCATGGTTACCCTCTTTGCACTCATCCACATCAAAACACGAAAAACCATCACCATGGAAGCCAGAATTGCAACTGCATGTATAAGAGCCATCAGTGTTTCTGCAATCTGCATTCCTGGCACAAGGCCAACCACTACTGCACTCGTCTTCATCGTGGCAAATTTTCCCGTCGCCTCGGTATCCCGTAATACATTTACAGCTGAAAGAACCAGGCGTGTTCATGCAACTTGCTTTCGAACTGCATTGGGCTGTCCCTTCCTTGCACTCGTTGATATCTACGAAGGAATTAAATAAGTTAATTATTCCTCTCATCCAGCGATAAAATAGTAAACGAACAGCAATAATAGAAATATCAAGCTCCCACCACAAGACCAGGAGTGTCTAGAAAAGAGCCATTATGGTGAAGGCCATTGGCTACCTATTTATAGCGCTTCAACTGCTAATTTTATGCTCACCGTTGCATGACTGTCCATTTCCACGATAGCCGTTGTTACATATGCAGCTGTGCGACCCTGGGATGTTTACACACTTGGAGTGAGGGCTACAAAGATGACTTCCGTCGCTGCATTCATCAACATCTTGACACACATAACCATCGCCGGAAAACCCAGAACGACACACGCATTCATGAGAGCCTATTATGTTTTTGCATTCTGCATTTCTATCACACTTGTGAGTTCCATCGCCACATTCGTCAATGTCATCACACGACAGTCCGTCCCCTACGAATCCCCGTCGACAAATGCACTCGTAAGAGCCGATAGTGTTATTGCAAAATGCATGATCACTACACTTGTGTTTATCGGTATGGCATTCATTAATATCATGACAGGATTGTCCATCCCCCATGAATCCTTTGTGACACGTACAATTGTAAGAGCCGACAGTGTTATTGCAGGATGCATAAACACTACAGTTGTGTTTATTGGTACTGCACTCATTAATGTCAAGACAAGACCGTCCATCACCTTGGAATCCTTCCAGGCAACTGCACATGTAGGAGCCGACAGTGTTATTGCAGGATGCATGAACACTACAGGCGTGTGAGTTAGTCTTACATTCATCAATATCATGACAAGACCGTCCATCACCTTGGAATCCTTCCAGACAACTGCACTTGTAGGAGCCGACAGTGTTATTGCAGGATGCATAAACGCTACAGGCGTGTGTGTTACTCTTGCATTCATCGATATCATGACAAGACCTTCCATCACCTTGGAATCCTTCCAGACAACTGCACTTGTAGGAGCCAACAGTGTTATTGCAGGATGCGTGAACACTACAGGTGTGTGTGTTACTCTTGCATTCATCAATATCATTACAAGACCGTCCATCACCTTGGAATCCTTCCAGACAATTGCACGTGTAGGAGCCTTGAGTGTTATTACAGGATGCATAAACACTACAATCGTGTGTGTTAGTCTTACATTCATCGATGTCATGACAAGACCGTCCATCACCTTGGAATCCTTGAAGACAGTTGCACTTGTAGGAGCCGACAGTGTTATTGCAGGATGCATGAACACTACAGGAGTGTGAGTTAGTCTTACATTCATCAATATCATGACAAGACCGTCCATCACCTTGGAATCCTTCCAGACAACTGCACTTGTAGGAGCCGACAGTGTTATTGCAGGATGCATAACCGCTACAGGCGTGTGTGTTACTCTTGCATTCATCGATATCATGACAAGACCTTCCATCACCTTGGAATCCTTCCAGACAACTGCACATGTAGGAGCCTTGAGTGTTATTACAGGATGCATGAACACTACAAGCGTGTCTGTTAGTATTGCATTCATCGATGTCATGACAAGACTGTCCATCACCTTGGAATCCCTCCAGACAACTGCACATGTAGGAGCCGACAGTGTTATTACATGATGCATGAACACTACAGTTGTGAACATTAGTTTTGCATTCATTAATGTCGTAACAAGACCGTCCGTTGCCCGCAAATCCGTCGAAACAACTGCATTTATAGGAACCTACAGTGTTGTCACACACTGCATGGTCGCTACAGCTGTGCATTTTGCTCTGACACTCATCGATATCCTCGCAGGAGTAACCGTTACCTTGGAATCCTGTCAAACAGCGGCAATCGTGCGAGCCGATGGAATTTACACAAAACGCATGCTGACTGCATGTGGCAGAATTTCTTTTACATTCATCAACGTCCTTACACGAGAATCCATCTCCTTGGAAGCCATTATTACAAACACAGTTGAAATGAGTCTTATCTTTCGGATTTGTTTTGCATGTAGCGTTTCCATCACAAAATGGCTTTTGACGGCAGTTAAAACTTGTCGCTAGTGTTGGTGCATCTGTTAAGGAGAGATGAGAGGGATAAAAATTTTTCTACCGAACTTTAAAATTCTAGACGGCTGATGAACTTTCTTTATAATTTCAACGAATTTTCAGGAGACCCTACATCAATTATTCAGCAGATCAAACCGAGAGTCAAAAGCTTTACATCAGTTCGTGCAAAATGCCTATCGAAGCATTTTCTCGTTCTCAAGTTCACAGTCGAAAATAAGTTTAAACTGCTGATATCCATCGCTGTTCTGTTAGTATCTTTAACAAATAAGTTTAGACTTAGGCAAACATCGGAGAAAAGGTCGTTGCTGAAACTAGTTATTGATGAATGAGCTGGTTAACTTGTGTAAGAAAGTTGAGCAACTCTCACGCCAACAGTTGTATTTTCAGAGATTTATACTCGCAAAAATTTTCCTGTGATTTCTGTATTCAATCCTTTTACCCAGCAATAAAAAGATAGTTTCAATACTCACCTTTATCTTCGAGAGATCTTTTATGCAATGATATCAGTTCAAATACCACAACAATACAAGCAATCGCGATCAACAGAATCACAAGTCCTGTCATCCATTTCGACTTGGTCGATCCGTTCATGGCTGTTAAGAAGAAGCCCTAATGCTTCGCTTCTTTCCCTTGATGAGTCTACTTTTGCCCCTAATAATTTACTAATATGATGTACTATTATCTCCAAGGAAATATTCAAAAGGGAGTCGAACGTACGAGTTTCGCTATCCAAATGTGAATTACGACCTCAGAATATTTTTGCTCTTTCGGTTTCTCAGAAATCTGCCGGGGGAACCCCCTAATGCTACTACGTATTAACCTCTCATTGGTTATTGAGCTGACCGATATAAACAATTTCGTATCATACTGGGAATTTTACCGAAAATTTTTTTTAGCAAGTTAGCATCGAATAATTACGTCATTGGTCAGGGAAATGAATGCAAAATTATAATTTTGACAGACAGTTGCCATTTCATAACTTTTGTTTACTGTTACAGGTATTACACTACAACTATTAATGAAAAGATCCACCCAAAAATAGAAATATAATGTTTGAGCATTGTGTTGATCGAAGATATGACAAGAAATATAGAATAAACAAGACTAAAGCGCATATCAAGCAAGTGAATTAAACCTAATTATAAACGTTAATATGATTCATGGTAGAAAATTGTGACAATTATGTTTCTGTGGCAACTCAGCGAGTTGTTAGTGATACGTAGTAGTTTCCTAAGTTTATACGTGCTCGTAATAACTAGCCTGACGGCCAAAACGATCAATAGGGTGATTTCCGAACGGCACACAATCCACAGAAATATGTTCTTACGGATGGCGCTGTCTACCTTAATGTCTATACCAATTTTTCTGGTCAAGAAGCTCACTTCAGGTTTTTAATGTGATATAATTGTTCCCGTTAATAATCTTTAAGGATAATTACGAGATGAAAATTTACGCCACCGCTTCCCAAAAGCGAAGAATCGACAAAGAACCAATGATCTTGTTGATTTCAATATCTTTAGTTTCTCGGAATTCTGGGGAACCCCCGACTGATTTGGCCAACTGCTTCTTGTTGGTTCTCGACTGAATTAAACGAAAAAAAAATAAAATAAGTAAAAAGGAAAGAATTGACCTGTTCATTAAATCATGTCACGCTGTGTGCTGTACATGTAATAGATTTGATGTAGCCTCAGAGAGGACGACTTCGATCCTTGTCACGCTATGGTCGATTTCGATTCAACGCTCCTGATTTGTGTATAAAAATTGCATTAATACAATTGGCGTGCGTATTGCACCAGATGATGAAATCAAGATTAAAAGAATGTGTCTGGATTATGGCAAACAGCTCTTCTTCATTTCGTTCCTTGGCATTCATTTTTGTCATGATATTTAAACGGGTGCACTTCCTTTGAAAATTTTAAAACAGATTTAAGAGCAACAGTATGTCACAGAAGTGCTGTTCAATTGTGCGTAATTTTTTGTGGGCTCGACCGTAAATAAACGCCGGAACCCAGACAAACACCGAAGCCTCGATGTGGTTTCAAGCCTTAAATTTTATTCGATGTGGGTATTGAGCTGAGCTATCTTTGTGCATGAACAGATGATAAACAAGATTAAAACCGAAAACAAATAAGCAGCCTAAAACTGATATGTTTGCGAAACATAATCCAACCTACTTTACATTCGACGTAAAATGTTGTGAGAAATCATTTTATCATACAAACTACGGTGTTATACAAGGATTTCCAGCCCTGAGAAAAGCCGTAACAACACACTTGGAAAAATACTTCTTTCCTATTATGTTGCATAACTTAGTAAAAACACAAAGGTTTAAGCAGACTAATTTTAACTCTGTGACTAAATGTACGGCAGTCAGAGGTTTTCACAGAATTTCCACCGAAAGGCTGTATGTTTCTTTTCGGATCAGAGCTAATATCTCCAGCTTGAGAAAACGCAATCAGGTTAACGAATTCAAAGCGGTAAAGATGTATTTCAAGTGAGCGTAACTCAATATACTTCAATTAAGTAGTAGGGTTTAGGCTGATATTTGCTGTATGAGTCTCCTGAAAAAAAAAATAAGAATCTGGACATTCTTTCAATTGACCCACCAACAATACACCCAGATAATATACCCAGATAATATTTTGATAACATCATTAGCTACAAGCAGCTCTTCTACCACGCTTTCAATAGTTAATTACTCAGCCATTAAAATGGAGAAAGATCATGGAATATTGTTTCGTGAGACCCTAAAATTTATCAGACGGTCAATGTAAATAAGGCACCTTGAAAATTTATCAACTGTTACTCTGAATTGAATTTCACACCCGGTTTAAGTAGATTTTAATTAACATGATCGTAGAATTCATCGAATTTTGTGAAGTGTAGAAATTTCACGAAATAAACAAAAGCTGCCAGGTATCCAGCAGAGGTCTAAATGAAAGCCAGCGTTATTTTTAAAAGAAATGGAGAAAAAAAAATGTAGCTATGAGTGTGTACCCACTGCTGTAAGAAAACTTTAGAGACGTTGACTCAAGTCAATTCTCTCTCACTCGGAAAGCGGCTCCGTTCATTATAAAGATTGATTTCGAGAGAAACATAATGGTAACTAAGGGTGATAGTTCAGCAGACTGTAACTGATCGCTCGTCGGTGCGATAGAGGGGTTCACAATTGAACTGGCGCGTCCTACTCATCTTTAGTTTTTGCTGTTTCTATTCGGATCAAGAGCTAATCCTACCAGTATAATAAAATGTAATGAGCTGTACGAATTCAAACCAGAGAGGCAATGTAAAGCTGTTCTAGGTGTAAGTTGAACACGCGATAAGTTAGAGCGTCCACTTTTTTTTTTTTTTTTTCAAAAGTAACAAACGTCCTAAAAGTGGTGTACGAATATCTTTATCCTGATTGGTTGTGATATTGAAACAAATCTTCCAGTTTTCACCGTATCAAACACAACTTGAATAGTAAGCGCCACTTAAAAATTGCGAATGGTGAAGATTTGTCCTTCCTTTTTGGTGTGTTTTTATCATCAGTTCATGAGTTAAGTTTTCAAACGACGTTAGACTGTATTTTTCTCTTAATTTTCTTATGACGACTTAAATGATATTTGCCAAGATGGCATTTTTCTCATGCCAATTTGTTATTCCCAGTTCACTGTAACTGAACGCTAATTCGTGCACTAGAACAGTTAAGTAAATTTTTATCCCCCAAATTGTTTGAGTAACTAAAAAGTGGTCGCCCCACTCATCTTTTGTCCTTTTGTCTCTTTTCGGATCAGAGTTAATCTTTCCAGCGTGGGAAAATGCAATTGCGTAAACGAATTCAAAGCAGCGAAGGCGCAGTTCATGTGCGCCTAACAAGCCATAAGATAAAATGTACGCGCACCTTATTCAAAAAGGTGGAAGTTGTAGCCTCCGCCATATATTCACTTCAAGAGTCACCGGACAAAATCTGGACACTCTCCACATTGACCCACCAACGATTCATCACAAATATCTTTATCCTACTAGATTGTTATATTTAAACGAATCTTTCGCTTTTCATGGTATCGGGCACAAAAATGAATGCGAAAGACGCAATTGAAGAAATTGCTACCAATGACGTAAATGTCAAAGTTACGTAATTTACCAAAGTAATGTTTTGTTCCCTGGAGTGATTCTATTTGGCTCTTTAAAGAGTTCATTCACCTTAACTTTGCGATCAGTTCACGCGTTCAGTGAAGGAGTCAACTACTGAAGTTAAGCCTCACCGGGTACAAGTCTTTATATCACAAGTCTTATATCACACTCGTCCTGCATACCGCTACGATCCGCAATGTCTGAAAAACATCTTTTTTATTTCTTTACCGAGCTCAAAACTTACTATCTCTCAGTCTCTTATTTCTATCTACAAACATTACGCCATCGACATTGCTGATCCCAGCCGTGGAGTCTCTGTGGCTCAGTGGTAGAGCATCGGAACGCGGAATCCGAAGGTCTGAGGTTCGATTCCTCGTGAAGACACAGATTTTTTTCTTTGTCCCATGCTCGTGACATGACGAAAAACATCTTTCTCTTTCTTTACCGAGCTCAAAACTTACCATCTCTCTTATTTCTATCTAAAAAGATCTTGCAAGAATAATTCGAAATGCACTCCGAGTTATAAATGCTGAAAACTAATTCTTATTTCATTGTGCCGTTCCTTTCGTTTCAGAGTGCCTCAATGTCAGCCCGTTACTGCTTAAGTATTGTTTGGCGGATTAAGAATTTATTACGAAAATTAATAGCCCTTTTCCAAAATCCCACGATTCAGAGATCGGTTGCCGAAATAAGAGTGATCGGAGCAAGGATGAGTAGGGAGTTGCTTTCGACGGCACGAAACATGTAAATCCAGGGAAATGAAATAAAAGGGATAAACAACTGAAAAGCGAGCGATGACCACTCGAAACTTAAGAGGCCCTGCGCCTAAGAAACGACCGATGATTTCTAGCTAAAAATTAAAATCGGCCGATTTTTATCTTCCAAGTGGAGGTTACCTAGTACTATTTAAAAATGAATTTCTTTTGCTTCAGTTTCGCTTTAAACCAAAAATATCGAGCCGCGAACTTGTTACGTCTGATAGCTGCAAAATCTGTCCCAAAATATGCCCTTTCAAAAACCGGTTCAAAAATCTCTATCGAAACACAAAATAATGAGAAAACTACGCAGTTATGAAGAAAAAGGCCTTTTAATGCAATATCATTCGATAAACATCGAAAAACTGCAGAAGCGAATGAAAAATTAATTTTCAAATATTGCATATCAAATTAGATGAAGCGTTGGAGATGATTTGAAAATAATTATTTCTACAAAATCCAACGCTGTTGAAAGCAATCACAGTGATGAATCAGACATTAGAAGGATATACATTGCGTTTCTGGAAAAGCATTTTCCGGCCAAAGTATATTGACCTTGCACGAAGCGTTCAAAGTTGCAGTGTTTACCGTTACGTTGCTACTCCGGCGAAACACTTCTCTGTTGCCAAGACGTCCATGGACAGCGTGGTAAATGTCACTTTAAACCTTGCTAGGCGCTTAAATACCATCCTGAATAGAATGATATGGTATTAAAAGAGAAAGGAAGATGAAAAATAGGTAAAAAAAGAAAATCATTTACCATCTGCTGAGGTGAATTGAATCTTGGAAATGTTATCGCGTGACAGCACTCATTTCTCCAAACTACGGCGGAATCCAAGCGAAAGGGTAAAATATAAGTTAAAAAAAACTCTTCCGCCGCCAGAAATTCTGAAGTGAAACAGTTTTATATTATTGCCATGATTGATGATGAATTCAGGAGAAAATTAGCCTCAGATGGTGTCCATTTAGTTCTTTGGTGGGCCACATTTGTTTCGTTACATTCCAACGGACGTTATGGGTCA